AAAAAAAAAAAAAAAAGTTCTTCAGAAATTGGCTCAGCGGTGGAGTACTTACGCAGCACAGGTGAGATCCTGGGTTCAATCCTTAGGTCCAAAAAATAAAAACAAAAACAAATAAACAAAAGAAGAAGGAACAAAAAATTCTTCACATATATTACAAAAGAAGAATTCTACTGCCAGTTTTAATTTCCTAAGGAGTCTTTCAGTGTTTCACACGTGCACCAAAGCATATGTATAAGAATGTTCTGTGCAGCAGTGTTTGCAATAACAAAAACAAACAAACAAACAAACAGTCCAGGTGCCCATTAAGAGAGAAAAACAAATTCTGTGGTTTTGATAAAAAGAAATGCTATACAGCAGTGATATTGAATAAACGCACATCAATCTAGCTGCAACCATTAAGTGCAGAAAGCAAGACTCAGAAGACACATACATATGTATGTTTATATTACTATTCCATCAATATAATATTCATAAAAGGTGAAAGTAAGTAACACACTGTTTAGTGGTACATTTACTAGAACTACAATTATGATGTTATGTAAATGTCTGATGGCCCAAAGTTGGGGAAGATACTAATGCCCTGAGAAGAGATGGGAACATGCTAAAGAGAGCATACAGGAACCTCAGAGGAACTGGCAACTTTGTCATTTTTAACTTGGGATGGGGTTCATCTTATTATTTGATCTTTTTTTTTTTTTTTTCTCCAGTACCGGGAACCGAACTCACGACTTTGCGCTTGCCAGGCAGGCGCTTTGCCGCTGAGCTAAATCCCCAGCCCCTATTTGATCTTGATTTATTTATTTACTGGTGCTGGGAATTAAACAGGGCCTCCTAAGTATTTGCCCTACCACTGAGCTATGACTGCACTATCCCATTATTTTAATTACACCCTTTTGTAGGGACGATATATTTTACAATAAAGTACATGAAAAATCACAACATATAGCAAAAATATTTCAATATGACTTCCACCACAAAAACAGTAATCAACACACATTAAGCACTTCCATTATAGGTACAGTGTAATAAGCATGTTGGGTGATTTTTTCGGTTTAATCCTCAAAATAGGTGTAAAGTAAAAGCCATTCTTTTTGTTCATTTGACAGATGATAAAATTTAAACTAAGAAATGACAATATCTGTCCAAAGTCCAGCAGCCAGCATGTTATGCCATTGGAATCTAGACCCAGGCAGGACAGTTCTGGAGGTGTCCAACCCAATTATTAAACTAAACCTAGAGCTTGCTCCCAGATCTAGCTGTAAGTGTCAATGACAAAACAGATAAAGCGGGCCTTACGTAGGTGAATGGGTCAACTCTCACAGGCTGGGCTCCTCCACTTTCCACATGATTCTCTGAAAATGAAATGCTCCTTGCCTTTCTACCAGGAGTCCAGGAACTGCTTAGAACAATAAAGCATTTTTATAAAGCACCTATCATTAAGCGAGGCATGCCAGCTCATTTGATCTTCATTACCACTGTCTGCACTGAATGAAGCACAGGTACCCATCTTGTGAAGAAGATCTGTGAAGATGACTTGCAGAGGTTATACTTCTGGTTAGTGGGAGAAGTAGCAGCATTTAAACCCAGGCATATTCACTACCATCCCAGTGGCTTCTTGCCTGCCATGAAGTACCGTTTAAAGCAAGGGTATATAAGGGGAAAAAAAGTCTCATTTTGTAATAAAACATTGTATTAAATGTAGGAACTATCAAATAGAAGGCTTTAAAGGGTTACCATTCTCAAACATTTATACTGTTAGAAAAATGGAAAAGATGTGCTAGGAGAATATATAGTGGCTTCATCCCGGGAAAGGTAAAAACAACATAATCGCACTTGAGGATTTAACTTAATTTTGTTACAAGTTCGCTGCCTTTATTTTATCTTAAGCTAACAGGAGTTGAGTCACTTGATTCACAAATGCTCTCAGTCATTTTTAGGAGAAAGGGTACATATTAATGAAAACTTGTGGGGTTCCCATTATCTATGAGGTCTTAGAATAAAAGATATCAAGCTGAAAAATATTTAACTTCACTGCCTATGGCGAGTCCACAGCCTAGTGACAGTTAAATAATTACAATGAAATGAACCTCACAGGACCTGTTAAAATCTAAACCAGACATTCCTAATGAAAAGGATGCTACCTTAAAGAAATAGATGACTTTTGAATGGGGCTGTACAAGGCACGCGTACACTCAGAGAATGAAAGTGGGAAGCATACACACTCCTGGTAGAGTCCAAATGCATGAAGGAATAGCACGTGTATGTTTGTTTGCTGCTGCAGTATGAAAATTGTTTAAAGACATAGGAAAAAAGTGACCCTAGAGAATCCTGTCAGGGAGAGATTCTGAAAGTTTTCACCTGACTCCACAGTTACACTAGAGGGCCACAGGAAGTTTTAAGAGACCAGCTGGAAGGCTATTTTAATAGTTTAGTCAAACAGCACTAAGGGTCTGATTTAGGCTATCTTATAAAATAAATTATATTGAAGACTCATTTTACAGATGAGATCATCAAGGCTTAGAGGACTAAAGCAACAAGTCCAGTACTGCACAGTTGATCAACTGGGAGCTCGGCCTGGCTGAATGAGGATCGTGGCGGTCAAAGCAAAGTATAGAGCAGCTGAGAGCCTTTAGCTTGAGCTAATCAAGTAGAGGGCAGCCCACTAACCCCACATGGTCAAGAAGAGAAGCAGGCCAGGGAGAAAAACAAGAAGTTCAGTTCCAGACATATCGACAAAGAGGTCTCTGAGAGCTAGGCCAGCACGCCAGAGTGCTGTTGAAAATGCCAAGAGGGTGCTTGGGAGAGGTGTGGCTGGAGAAGAATAACGTAGGCATGAAATATCATTACTGAACAGACATGGTTCCACCCATGACCCCCATCCTGAAGGTTAAGAACCTGAGGCTGAGAGGCAACTGGGAAGACAGTTCTAGGGATAAACCTGTATTCAATGCCCAAGCTATGTATGTGCTAAGACAAATTTCTTTCCCTTTCAAATCAGAGATTTAGTTTTTCATTATAAAGCAGAACCTGCAACCCTTCATTTACTACTTGTTGAAAAGACAAAAATGAGTATCTATCTAAAGAACCTAGTACATTGCTGTCCAAAAGTAAGTGCTCAATAAATGGTAATAATGATTATTATCATCATCGCCACTTAAGGGATTTGTTGGAGATGAGGCTAGAGTGTGGGCAACACTCCAGGTTCCTGGCCCAATTACTCTCTTGGCAATTACTTCCCATAACATTCTCTAAACTACATAAAATTTTCACCAATTTTTCAATCCAAGAAAAGGAGCTCCCTTTGGAGAACATAAATTAGCTTGTAAAAAATTCTTGTTAGCCAAAAGAATAATGTCGAGAGTCATTTAAAAACTATATACAAGTGAATATTATAAAATACTTTGATGAAATACATGAACTGGAAATAAATTGCATCACATCTTCCTGAAGCCTTAAATGTTCAAGGTAAATCTATGGTGTGACTCATTTCATCTAAAGGAGAATCATGGTAGGGGCATGACAGTATTTCCTCAGCCAGGGTCATCTTACTCAGGGTTTTTGACTGTGACAATATCTGTGTTTCCAAAGGGCACATTCCCCCGGAAGGTCAGTCTTTCAGGAATCACAGAAAATCTTGAAATCTAAAAACCCAGTCAACAGTACTTGGCCATAGCAATAAAGTACAAGCCTTGAAGATTGAAGGATATGTAACCATGTATTCATCATTTTGTCATTCAGAACTCCTTTGGACATATTTTCCTTGAGATTCAATGTGGTAACTAATAACACAGCTATTTAGTTAGAGACCTTGAGATTGAAAAATTACAGTGGAGAAGAATTTCTGGTAAAAATGATACATCACATGCACACACACACACACACACACACACACACACATGGGCACACCCAAAGGTCAAAACAAACAAATACACTTAAAAAGAAAAAAGGACATTGGAGATAAATGAAATTTATTGTTTAATTTGATTGCCTCTAAGATAATATGTTTGCTAAGGTTGTGAACACAAGTAATGTGGAAAAAATAAAATGCGTGAAGGGGAAGCAGTGCCAACCTCATCCATTAGAAATAGGAGAGATGTTTCAAGATGAATTTCTCTTTTTTTTCTTTCTCACTAAGGATTCTTGGCATCTTCCGCTCAGTTTGCTCAGAACATGGCCGCAGAGCCTCCGATCCCACTGGTTCTCCCTCCTTCGCTGTCCTTATCCCTGCCTGTGCTTATCTGAATATATAAGCCTGCCCTTTGCTCAGATTTATGGGTCCAGTCAGGGCTGTGTGTATTTACAGTGTTCTGACCTGAAGACCCTGGGCTGAAGGAGAAGAGGAGGAAACTGGGACCCATTCCATAAACAGAGACAAATATGAGGGGGAGGTAGAAGGCTTTGCGAGCACTTAACATTTTTAACTATTGGCCAAGCCTAAGAATTGGTGATTAGATTAGAGTAAAGGGAAAATGCGGGATGTGAGTGCAGACTTGGAGAGAGTAAGCTGTATATTTTTGCTCCAGTCTAGTTGCTTGGAGGTTCTGGGTTTGGGGGTGGGGTAGGATTAAATTTAATGCAGAAGGTCAGAAAGAAAATTGATAAGTCAGTTACAGAGGGAGCTATAAAATGCCTTGGGAAGGCAGAGGGTCTGCAAAGAAGAGGATATAAACAACATTTAATAAGTCAGAAAATTTCTCCAACCACAAGTTGAGCTCTTGTGTGAAGCCAGACTAGTTGCATTTTTAAAACTGTAATTGGTTATAGAAGAAAAATCTCCTGCTTCATGCTTAAATGAGAACATGTTGCTGTAGATTACCAAAATGCAATCAATTATGAGCTGAAATATTTTTCTTAGGGCCTGGTGGCTCACTTAAAAGCAACTGCATTTTCAAACAGGACTGCTTCATAATTGGGCCACTCAGATGGGAAGCAACTTGTACCTCTGAGAGGTGCATGAACCCATTGAAATGAAAAGCAGGGAGCATTTGACTCTTCAGCAGAGCTCAGCACCCGAAAACTAGATCTCTCTTCCCCGAGGTCATATCTCTGTGCCCAGGCAAAAGATAAAAGCATAACTTCTGTTTGGGACCTTTCTCAAATATTTTGCTTGCTGGAAAAAAATGGGCTCATGGGGAAAAACCCTGACCTACCAACTAACTAAATCAGAAATAATCCAGTTGGTGAAGGATGCAATATTCATTAGAGAACACTGGCAAAGCAACAGGACAGCTTAGTAAGTGGAGCATGATTGCTTTATACTAAAATGGGTATAAAGAAGCAATTTGATGATATCCTCCACAGATCCCTTTACACTGCAATAGAGCAAAGAACTGTGATGTACATGATTAAGAATGTGATTGGAAAATTTGTGAAATATCATCAAATTGTTTCTTTCATCTTAATCTACAGCAATTGTGTTCTCATGATGTTATCTCTTAAAGCTAACATGATGTGCTATACTGGTGATATACTGGTGATATTGTTTGGAATTTTTTGTTTTACCTATACTTTGTAATTACATGTTGTAACAACTATACCTTGTTTAAAATATACTGCGGATAATGTGCCTTTGATTAAACTATTACCAATAATTGCATAAGAAATCATATATGGCTTAGCACTGTGTGTGGCACTTTATAAATGCTAAGTTGTTTATTAGTACTATATTATTATTCAAATCATTTGTCAGGAAACCAAAAGAAAAATTAATTCCACAACTGAATTTTGAAAAAAATTTATAATGCAAAATTCACATAAATGCATTTTCTTTTCCATTTATGTGCGCCATTTTATGCTTACAATCAAACATAAAATTCAAAGTAGCGGAGTTAAGGAAGGCATTTGGTTATTACACCGGTACAGGCTGACTGTATAACCATGAAAACTTGAGCAAAAGATGATGAATGGCAAGGAGCTTTTCTCACAAGGTTGCATTTCTAAAGTGAAATGAAAGACATAATATTCTAGAAAACTAATTTTTCTATTGCTATCACTTTTGAACTTTCCTCTAAAATAATGAAACTTCTGCTTTGTAAATAATGCAGGCTTAGAACAGATGCAACGGCGTGAAGAGTTTTTAGGGGGGCTTGGGGGGGACAATTACATCACAGCTAAAATGTGTCAGTTCTGTTCAGATTTGTTTGCCAATGAAATGATTTTTTTCTCTACTATGGTGTGGAGCATAGCAACAGTGGGTTCAGATATCACCATTTCGGAGCAGAGACCTAGCTCAGTGTGCCAGGAAAAAAAATGCACGCACCACAAAGAACATTGAGATGAATGGCTCTATTTTATGAGCCATAAAAGTTTTATTCATCTTGACATTGAAACAGGTTTAGGCAGTGAGTTGACACGCCTTAAATAAATAAGTGGAATTAATTCTCCAGCCCTTGAAACAATAGCAGCATGCATGTAGCAGGGAGAAATGCCCCATTGTTTCCCGTGGCTGCTTGATATTGATATTATTTGTGTTTTTCTGTGCTGCTTCCTCAGAGGCCCAGTTGATCCACTTCAGATTCATCCCCCGTTTTATTTGAGGTTGAAAAAGGTTCAGGACCTGGTTGTACCACAGCTCCCACCGACAGCTAAGGAACCAGTTTGGCGTCTGGTTTATCTGTTGTTTTACTGCTGACCTTCAAATCAACTTTAACCCCTGACCTCTGGAGACATCTATCATGACAAGAGGCTGTTTAACACAAATGGTGCCTATTTATAGGGGAAGAGACTCAGAAGATTTCCTTTTTATGAAGAATTTAGTTTTTCACCCCTCTTTTCTCAGTCACCACAGGTGAAATCCCTCTTAGCAGCTGGCTTATGAAATAATCTGAAGGGAGGCCTTAATGAGCAGAAAGCACCCTCAGCTGGAGATAAATATATGCAAATGAGATGCACAAACAAAGGAGCCTGGACAGAGAAATATCTGCAATTCCAGCAAAATGCTGCCTGCAGCTCGAAGATGAACAGCTTTGATAAAATGGTAACAAAAAGCACCTTTTCATCCTCCAGCGTGTTTTACATTGCAATAGACCATTGTCATTGCAACCCAGTAGAGCATGCAGAGGTTTTCTGCACTCTTTCAGAAAACTGTTTAAACATTTGTTTTAAGGCATTCATGAAATATAATCGATGGACTGCTTCTTTGTTGTTGTGATTTTTTTTTCCTGAGTGTGTTTCAGATGTTACTGTAGTTATTTTACCTGTTGGGCTTTTCATGGTTTCATGTTGCTGTCTCACTGAGCTACTTCACATTTTCGTGACTGTTTCTTCCACTGGTTAGAATTATTCTTTTTTTTTTCCAATTTCAATGGAGAGAGATTTCAAGTTAATAATTAGTAAGAGTCGGCTTTGTTCAGCACCCAAACAACTAGTTTTAATGATGGCAATCAAGTGTGCAGAGCGAATGCAGAGACAGGCTTGTAACATGCTGATTTTAATAAGCTTTAAAAAGGCAATCTCTAACTTTTAAAAGTCTCTTTTTAATTTAATCGTCCTTGGTTTGTATGATTCCAAAACAAACAAAACCATTAAAATATGTTTTCAATATGTATCCACAGTATTATTTGATGATGTTTTAAATTAGCATCATGTTGGTAAAATATTGATTTGATGAGCTTTAGAAATGGAAAAGCTGAAGTCATCAACCTATTTGGGGGAGAAAAGAACACTCTTTGCTAAAAATGAACAAAGCCTCAGTCCAAAGATCTTACCAGAGAACCCCTGGACTCCTGACACATAAAGGGCCACATCGGAGCTGTGTGTTTTGTTAGGTGACTCGTCAAAACAGCTAAGGTGAGAGAAGGAACGTTATGCACTTCACACTTGGCAAAATACAATCACTCTAAAAGCTCAGCAATATTTGGTTCTTTCATTTATAACACAATCCTAGCCTTCTGCAGCCGAGATGTATGAGGATCTTTACATTTCCTTTTCCTAAATTATTTCATCTTGGTAGCTAGGATCAGAGTGGAGACATTTCTTCTGAGTACTGCATAGCTTTCACATTTTATGTGCATTTCATCAGGCAAACGTCAAATTTGCTAATAACAGGAAAATCTCATTTTTAATCATGCCACTCTTGTTGCGTGGGCTGGGGTGGGGGTTGGGGGGCCAAGCAGGGGGCGGAGGGAGCATAAAAGCATTGAGCAGTGTGACCAAAGAGGAGAAGGAGAGAAATGCTTCTTCGGGCTTTAAAATGACACGTGCACAGTTATCTCTATGTCTGCATCAGTGCATCAGTACATTAAGAATTTCAGGAGTTAATAAGAAACTTGGTTATATTAGAGATGCTGTTTTCAAGCCCAGGTTTGAAGCAGCATAATTATGTTCAACTGCTGCTGTTTGAAAGGGCAAACAGCATCTTAGGCACAGAACAATGAAATTACAGTTGAGATTTAGGTTAGCAAAAGCCGTCTTCTCCAGGCTTTTATGATTCATTATTTCCCATTAAATACAGTATTAGAAGTGTACACTAGATAGCTCATGCTTGCTGCTCTCCGAGCACATTATCTATATTACACAGGTCTGGGGAGCAGAATTAGAAAACTTTGGGGGAATGAGCAATATGTGTTTGCTGATAGAAGTACCATATGGCTCATCTTCTTCAATTGCTTTCATTGCGACTCTGATGCTGGAGAAATTAAAGTTTTATTTGATGTGGCACAGCTTAATGAACTGTCTTCTGTTAGGAAAATTGAATATGTTTCCTGTTATTTGAGCACAGAGCCTCCATGGTTTGGCTGATGAGGGATGCATTATGTATTGTTTATTTAGCATTTTGAAAACAAAAGCAAGATATTGAAGGTAAAATTGATTACTGCTGTATTGCATTATATAATCAAGTTTTCTCTCCTTAAATTTCCCTTTACGATCTTCTTGTAATGTTTTAATAGAAGATTGTTCCAGGTTTGGGGTTTTCAAAAGACGCAGGGCTTGATTTTATCAAAATACATTTACTTGTCAGTGAGTTACATGAAAGTCTAAATGCAGTATTGTTATATTTATAAAGTTTGAAGAAGGGTGTTTGGGAAAAAAGAAATTAATTTTGTTTTTGTGAATCAAACTGCAAAACTTCTAGTGAGCCCCTAATTGGTTTTGACGGGATCTAACCTTATGGCTACTAGGAAAGAGTTGTCATTTTCTTTTGTTTGAAATAGACCACTTAAGACCATGCTGGGATAGAGTCATAAGAGGAGGAAAAAGATGTTTAATGTTTAGAAATACAAACTTTGACATATAAAGTTTTAATTTTTTGAGTTAGTTGTCAGTGAATGTAAAGCTGGACTTGACCTGTACATTAAAAAGAATGAAATATATATTCCATGAATGTAGATTCTTTTATTGAATACACATGATTAAAGAAAACACAATCAAAAATATACTTACATGCTAGAAAACTAAGGGATCAATCCATATGAATGTTCTCCACTCCCTGAAGAGTCTGTAAATAGAAACATCTAACATTTGGTTTAATTTCTTCATTTTCGTTCTGGATTCGATCTTTTTTAAAAAACAAAATGAAAATCTGAATAATCTCTAAAAAGACAGAATGTAAAATCATGTTCTAACCTCTGCACTGTCTTTCTTCCAATTTTGAGTGAGAAATATGCCTCACATGTGCTGATGGCTCAGGCATATGAATCTGCATCAAGCAAGCAGGATGAAAAATAGTTAAAGGGAATCAACATTTATCTGGAATATACAGTCCTGACCCCCCCCACCCCACCTCCCTCTCCCTAAAAAGTCATTTGTCTTCTGTGTTCTGAGATGTTTTGAGGATTCTGGCAAATATGGCAGTTAAACAAACTTTTTGTACAGTCTAAATACTGTCTGTTCAAGAGAGGCTTCCAGTGTTCATAGCCCTTATGTAAGTAAAGAAGAAAACCCTGATATTTAACCAAGAATAGCGCTCTTGAAAATGTCTCTGAGCAAAGTGTTTAAGCAAAAGTTTGGCCACAGATATTCTCGATTAATTCTTCCTATGACTGTTCCCCCCGTAAGGAATTTTCCTATGCCACATCTTGTTCCTTTTCTTGAAATTAACAAATTAATTTTTGAAAAAACAAAACAAAACAAAAACACCTGACTGGGAGACCTGGCAATACAAACTTCCTTTGAAAACACTTGAGAAGAAAACATCACATTTTTATGAACCCCATCTCCTGACAGGGGCCCGGGAGGAAGAACACCATTACGCATTGTTATCAGCGTGGTGTAATTTGACTGTTGACAAAGTATCCGTGGCAGTGAGAATGAGCGCAGTTAGGAGTGTGGCGGATTGTAATCAAGAAGATGCTTAGCTGTGCAACACTGCATCTTGAGCAGATTTGAATCAACATTGCCTTAAGGGGACACACACACATACCAAAAGAAAAAAATCCATTAATTTTTAGAGGGAAAATTAGAGTGGCACTTGATGAAGTGAAATTTGACATGCGTTAATTGCTCTGCAGCTCTCCTAATTAAAGATTTTCAAATTCTTTTACTGCTGTCACCGTGATGGCACATTGTCTTGCTGGACAGATACTAAAATTACAAATGGGTTTGATGGAGAAGTTTTGCATGCAAAGATTGGACTGTAGGCCCTGAACCACATCCATGAGGTAGAAAACTAGGGAGCAAAGATGACGGTTAGCTTTACTTCCACCCCAGATACAAACACAAGGCTAATGAAAATAGTTTCATTATGAAACTTCATAAAGGAAGCAGGTGCTGATGCGATTTCCTTAAACAGATGGAAATACTCCTCTTCTGTGCATGCCTCCGTGTCACGAAATATTTCAGGTGGGAAAAAGAGCAAGTGAAATGCTATGTTATGTGGACGTTCTTGTATTTCTAGTTATATTCTTCAGAAACTGGAAAGGGGCAGACTTTTTTTCAAAGGCCATGTCACATTTTTCCCAGGTCTGAGTCTAAAGCAGCAGCACCCCAGGTTCCCCTTTCTTGTCTTAAAGTAATTATACTGCCATTTGCACCCCAGTTTATCACCAAGCCCGATACCATAAAAATTTGGGTTTTCTTTTTTTAACCCTTCTTGTCGAGCCCTTCCACCTCTCTTAATTCATTAACATATTGAATTTTTTCAATTTTCCATTTTCTTGCAATAACAATATTAATGCCGAGGTGAAAGCTTGATTGAAGCTAAATTACTTGTTACCTGCTGGCATTTATTTATATGGCACTGAATTATAAAGCTTTGCTATTGTCATGCCTTGGGCGAATTGTTTATGACACCAGTAATAGGAGTAATTGTTATTGTTGAAATTACCTGTCAGCTACCCATAGCAGTGGCCCTTGTCCCACTGACAAATAGTGACAAGGGAGAAGTATCCTCCATGCGTCCCCCTGATGGCTTCTCCGCTGATAATAAGAAGTGCAGGGCCTCTGATAATTTGCCTGTCACTGTTGAGTGCAGCTCAGAGAGAGTTGGCCAAATTGTTGTCATTCACTTTGACAAAGACAGCAAAATGCTCCTGTGCAGGAGGAGGATTATCAAAATAAATGAAATCACTTACACCCCCTTTGTTTGTTTGGCTCAAAGATTGCCTGGCTTTGTACGAGGCTGTGATTCAAGGTTCAGTTCTTATGAGTGCGCCTCTGTTCATGCTGAGCTGAGGATCCCTGGGAAGGCAAAGCATGTTAGAAGACTTGCTGTGTTGCCATTTGCATTGGTTAGTAAAAAATTATATTCAAATATAAAGTCAATAAAATTATAACAAGAACTCCAAACATGTGACCAAATGCATTAATTTAAAACACATGTAAAAGGCACACCTTTTCTCTGCTTGCCTTCCTTTAATCTCTCTCTCTCTCTCTCTCTCTCTCTCTCTCTCTGTCTCTCTCTCTCTCTTTTTGGCCAGTACAGGCTTTCAGCTCTCAAAAGCCTTCAAAAATGCACAAATTTTCCACTTGCAATCAAGTTTTCTTTAAAAGTTTAGAATTCTGCTTCCTTTACTCCTCCAGCTTTAAGAGATTATACAGTCAGATTTAGGATTATTATTTCAAATGGTCGGGTTCCTTTTCATAAATTACCTTTTATTTACATACTATCTTCACATGTAAAGAGATAAATGAAACGTAGTTCCAGATATGAAGCATCAGTTATCACAGGCTTACAGAGGAAGCAAAATGGCCCTGTTATTTGCCAGAGCTCAAATATAAATATTTGCATTTTAAAACTCCTTGGTTGCAGCCTGTGAACCTGTCATAGAGGGAAGGATGGCTGGGGTGCGGGGCACAGCAGGGGGATGGTGTCCAGGAGTGTCTGTCTATGTCTGAAAGAAATGAAGTTTAAGCTAATCAAACCTTTCTTCTTCTAAAAACGAGAATCGTTCACACCTTTCCACAAAAGACATCATTTTATGCTAGGAAAATTCTTATTTTTAAGATGCCTGTGAGGCTATTTCTCATAGATCTTCTTGACAAATACTTGCTGTTATAAGAAGTCAAAAAGAAAAGGAAAAAGTAACTAGGATAAATGTAAAATATTGGCTCCTTATAGGATAGTAATCAGTTGTTTATTGGTCTCTACCAGACAAGTAATGACCAACCACAGTGTTAAGTGCCAGCAACGTTGCCTTGGGCCCTTCTCTCCTAACACCTGCCATTATCTGATTAGAGGAGCTCCAAGGAAGTCGCTATTGCATAATTTTATGGGTCTTAACATTAACAGTGCAGGTTGGCTGGCAGAAAAACTACCTAGGAGGGTTGATAAAGCAGCAGTGAAACATGATTTTATTTACTCCACTTACACCCTGCTCTCTGAAAGAGTATGTGAGTATCTCAGATGCTGGTGGCTGCAGAAAAAACACTACAATTGCTCTAAATAGAGATTGTGTGGGACAGGCAGCAGGAGGCAGGAGAAGGAAAATGATCTGGACCTGCAAAGCTTTTCATGGGCTGGTTACAGTTTGAGGTAAAGAGCAACACTGCTACAGGCCTCCAGACTCTTCCTTAGTTCTTATGTATTTAGCAAGTAAATAGGTTTTTACCAGTGCTAAAATCATACAGTACATATGATAATATGCTAGGCATAAAGTGTATTTCTGGCCCTTAATAATAACATAGTCTTCTAAAGGCAACCGCTCCGTGGTTAACTATGTTGAATGTCCCTGATTAACAAGTGGAAGGCAGTGACATAATTAAGAGGTTATCTGCAGTAATAAAAATGCTCAAACCTGTCTTGGAAGGTGATCCCTTCAACAGATAATTTTTAAGAACGTAGCATATTCTTTCTTCGCTGTCAAGACACACGTTAGTGATCCCAGGAGGGAAAATAAACATACGTTTTTAAATGAAGATATTTAACATGTACCCCATATTTCAATGTGTTGCTGTAACCTGGTCTTTTTACGTTCCTCCTATAAAACCTAAATTAAGCCTCTTAGGGGTGGTTTTGCAGCAGGTTTCAGCTAAAAACACAATGCATTTTAAATGGGTCCAGTACTTGAGTGCACTTGAACATGGAATCACCAACATGCATTCTTCTTGTTTCTTCCAACCACCAGCTTTAAACAACAACAGCAGCAGCAACAACAACAACAACAACAACAAGAGCCTTCTTGAAAATGTAGCTTCATTTGCAATGTAAACGCCTAACAAATAATAATTGCTCCTGGAGCCCTATTGATGAAGTGACTGGCAGCAAATCTTTCCTTTCTCTTTTCTTTTTTTTCCTCCTCTGTCTCTTGTGTAACATTTTGAAACACCCATCAGTGTCAAAGGAAACTGAACACATCCCCTTTGCTGCTCTAAATAAAGCTCAGCAATGTTAAGAAAAATGTCAGAAAAAGCTCAGTGGATTAAAGGAGCGCTCCTGCACCATGTCAGGGAGGATGGCAGGGCGGACCCGTCTGCATAATTCTCAAAGATTTTTTTTTTCTTGTAAAATGCTTTATATGTGAAAGGAGATTTTATTTGGAAAGATTTGATATTGTATTTGGGTAACATACAACCTTCAGCTATTTTTCTACATCTTGTTATTCTTTAATATGCCTTTGGTATGTATTTTTTTAAATTAGAGCAATAATACACTCTTCTTTCTCTGGAATGTTTCTTATCCCTGTACAAAGTGAAAATACATTTCAGACTCTTCTGTGTATTTCTCTTTTCTTTCTAAAATTTCTGGGATGTTCACTAGGCTAAAGCAGAGAAAATGCTGGGCTTTTACCCTTGCAAATTTATTGAACTAATCAATTCTTTTCCCCCTTAAATAAAATGTGTGCATAGCTTTGGAGATTTACAGACAGCTCATTATATTAAAACAAATAAAGCACTTACATTTGATTCATATATTAAAAATAAATGATTGGTGTGAGGTTTTAGTTTATTCCATTTTATTTTTCTAAAGAATATTCAATAACCACAAAATTGTATAGTTGGAAAATATACCACAGTGTCATAGCTATGTAATTAAAACTTAATGGTTAAAAAAGAAAATACCTTACAAATGCAACACTAGATACCACCCCAGAAATTGCAAGATTCGTTTACACAGAAACAAGGCAAATCTCAGCTGATTTTAAATATAAACTTTTCCAAAACAGGTTAAAAATGAATTTAGACAAATTTGGCTCTTAACCTTTAAAGATTTCCTGCCTGTTTCTGTATGTCCTTTATTACATTAATTTTTTATTTAAATTACACCATTAACTGGATATGAATTTATCAAGAATACATGTATTGATTTATAAAACAGTACCATTAATTATTATAATAGCTAGATGTAGCTGATATTACAAAGCCATTTAAAGGTTTTTAATATAACTTGGACTTACATAGATAGATAGACATTATGGACAGGACTACAATTTAAACTGGCTACCAGCAGTTAATGAAATCCTTGATTTATATTCTAGTTTAGAGATTGATTATATTGTTGCTTTGTAAAACTATTTATATTATGCCATTTTTCAAAGGATGTCTCAATAAAAAAGCTAAATAAAATATTCAGTCAATTCCCAAAGCAGATTTTGTTTTCTATATTTTAAATGCTAGTGAAAATAATTGATTGTGTGTGTTCCCAGCTTTGTCATTTCCATTCCTGAGGTGGCTTTCCTGATGGGAGCCTCTTTTGCATATGCAGACTTTCCATATACTTTTGATCCTTACAGAAACAAACCCCTTTACTTCATTATCCACCCCCCTCCCCAACGAACCCATGTATATTTCACAAAACCCACACATCAGGACACATAAGTCTTTCTGGCATCTTTTATGTTATGCATTTTTTTCCTTAAGGTTGTGGAAAACTGGGACTTACCCCAAAGCCGCAAAGCAGGCAATCACGTAGAGTATTTGGGTAAGAATGCAATCTGAAGAGAAAAAAAGAAAAGCAGGAAGCATATAAGCAAGTAACAGTAACACTTTCAAATTACTTTTCAGATGGTAATTAGCCAGCAACTAGATTGAAAGTTAAATTCTTTTCACATTGAACTTGGTTTGGGTCTCCTTGTCTCTTTATTTATATCACTTTTCCTTGCTTGGCAACATATGTTACCGATTTATTATAGTATTTTTACTGTAAGCAGACAAATCTAAAGGCTAGCTGCGAAGGCTAGCTTCATCTGATGAGTTTAACAACTACTGCAGGGCATCCTTGAGGGTGAGCCAATAGGCTCTTTTGAAGCTATAATACTATTAACCATTTTGATGCCGAAATATTTCTTATAGCCAAAGTTGGTTCCGTCTTTTTGTATGTATCTCAGGTTTTACATATACAAAAGTTTAACACAAATGAATTGTTTGGGAAATATTTCAGTAGTCTTCCAAGGACTTTCATCTGTAGGTTTCAAGTCCCCTAAAAGCCACATGAATGCATCAGTTTCTTTATTTCTCCCTTCTCCTAGAGGACACTGCAATCTGTGGCACATGTACATAAGCAAACAGCTATCAGGCGTCAAGTTAACTTGTCACCCCACCCTCCCCCTTCCATCCATTAGTTCTCTTCTGTGCTATTAAAAGAAACAAACATCTTTTAGCATTTAAATGATCACATTTCTCTAATACATGTACAGCCCCGAAAAGTTCAATCGAGATTCTTCTTGACTAAGAACCTGAAATTACTTTCCAAATTAGAAATGCCATGTATTCAGATCATTTTCACGGATGTGTGTAAAGGTTTATCCCTTTTAATATGTCCACATGGAATTGTCTGCCTGAGAATTGTATTTGTGGGTTAAAAATACCCATCTAAAGTTGCCAAATAGCAAGCTTCTATTTTTCATCATTTGTAATTTACCTCAATGCAAATTATCCTGTTGCTTGAATTTAAAATTCCTATAAATATTTTTTTCTCCATTTAAAGGTTTATGTGATATTCACTGACAATTTCAGGAACAATTTTGTGGAATGTCCTTTGAACATTCACGAATGGCAAATTTAGCAGTTAAATCACAAATATTAGAAGTCAGTATTTCCTGTCTAAAGAGCAGCGGTTACCAACCAAAATTTAACATAATTTTGATATTAGAATTCAATCAGTGAAAAAAACCCAAATATTCATAGCAGCCTTCAAGGTCTGACTGTGGAAAAGTAAATTCTGAGATCAGAAATACCCTCAATACTCCTGAGATCCAGAATGCCCTAAGACATATTATCTGTCCAAACACATCTGACCCAGGTTTCTGTCAGTAAATCAACAATGCCACTCTTCTCCAACACGGAATACACAGCTGTACCTGGTTTTAGGATATTTGCATTCAAAATTCAGCTTCAGATCAGGTGGTAAAATAACTAACATCTATGTAACCATTCATCTGATCCTAATTTTTATTAAAAGTCTCAGATCTTCATCCTTTATACCCCAATATACTTTCCACAACCTTACTGTAGAGTTAACTCTAGTAGCCCCGTTCATTCCATCAAAAGAATAATGATAATAAAAAGTAGATTTTACATTTGGTTCTACAGGCTTATCTTCGTTTAATTTAGTCTAGTCTAATTATTTAAGCAAGCTTATTATTTATATCTATTAACATATACCTACTATATATGTTTCTCATTTTGTCCCTAAGAATCATCATATAAAAACTGTTTCTAGGAATTTTAAATTAAAAATAATTATGACCAAAAAGATTTCAGCTTTGGAGAATGAGGTCAATTTTTCAAAAGTATAAATATACTGCACAGCAAAAAGGATCATGTATAAGGTTACAAATATGCAGCTGACTTAGTGTTAATCCTGTCACTCCATGAATGAATCCATCATAAATGAACTGAGTAGGATAAACTAATTTTAAAATACTAAAATACTAATGCTTTTAGAGAAACGAATGGAAATGAAGATGTTGGAGACCCTAGAATTTTTCTTTATCAGAAAAGTATACTGCTGAACCAAAATTGAATCTCCAGCCATATTTAATCCCTATATTTAGCAGCCTGCTAATTGTGTATGTGGGCTCCTAGCTCTTTCAAAACAGCCCTGGATTCTAATTCTGGCTGGCACCTCCCACCCATCTCTCTCTCTCTCT